AAAAAAAAAAAAAAAAAGTGAACATTAATTTAAAATAATAATGATGGTGGCAGTTGGCACTGTGGTCACCATGTGCCAGACGCTGTGCTGAAGGAGCACTTTGCACATGTTATCACATGCACTTCTCATAGCAACTATATTAGGTGGGAACCACTATTATGCTCACTTTATTGATGAAGAAACTGAGGCTTAAGATTTAACACGTTGCCCTTCCTCTACCCTGCCTGAATAACTCAGTCCTAAAGTTGTGGTGAGGCCTAGAAGGGTAGGGGTCCACCTGGGGGCATCTAGAGTGGGGTGTCAGAGCCTCCACTTCACCCCTAGCAGGGTAAAGAGGACGTCTGCATGAGGGGGGAGGGCTGCTCAGTTCAGGGGGTGAGTCAGTGCGGGTGTCGGATGCTGAGCAGGGTGAGGAGGGTCCATGGTGGTCATGGGGAGTGAGGACAGAGTCCATGCTGGAAGGGGGGACAGCACGGGGTATCAGATCCCAAGAAGGACGGGGAGGGTGTGTGAAGGACGGGGAGGGGTGTGTGTGTGAGGGGTGCTGGAGCCCAGGCAGGTGAGAGTGGTACCGTCTGGGGGAGGGGCACCAGTGGCAATGGGAGATTGGCTCCATACTTTTTTTTGGAAGCTGGCCAGTGCAGGGATCTGAACCCTCGACCTTGGTGTTATCAGCACCACGCTCTAACCAGCTGAGCTAACCAGGCCGGCCCGCCCGATTGGTTCCATACAGAGGGAGGGATCAGTAAGTTGTCCTGTTACAGATAACACAATCAGGTCTCTCCGTTAGAGGAAGGAGCTACAGATAAAGAAACGGGGAACTAGAGTGAACCCTGCAGTGCTTAACTGGAGGTATTGGTGTGAGCTCATTATTTTCAACAGTACAGGTAGACGTTAGAAGTAAACATAGATGTGTAGACATAGATATATGAATGTGTCTTCATGTATATCCCCAGCTCTGTCCACTGAGAGGGCTCAGAGTGGCAACACGCGACTGTTCCAAACATGTCTACCACCCAAATCTTGGCTTCTAGACCTATTCTCTGCTCAGAAGAACCAATGCTCCGAGGACGTATCGCTGTGGCAAGGAGAGGTCAAGATGTGCCTTAAAAATTCTCATATTATTCTTAGTCTTATAATATGAGGGTACTTCAAAAAGTTCGTGGAAAGATTGAATTAAAAGGTAACAAGAATCCTTCAATGAACTTTTTGAAGACCTCTTGTATTCCTACAAGAAGTAAGCAAGTGCTCAAAGATTGATGGGGACATTTCAAAAGAACCTAGAAGCCAGATTAAAGGAGTCCCATCGAGGACAATTTGAGTATCAAAACAAAACATTGTCTAAGTAATAGATTACAACCCACCGAATAAAATAAGAATCCATGATTCCACACTGATATGGATAAATTAATTAAAACTTTGATAAGGAACAGGTAACTTACATAATTTCAAAGAACCTTCCCACAAAATACATAATAATTATAAAGAAAAAAGAGTAACTTTACACTGGGAAGCCTGTAGACACCACCTTAATCAAACGTGAAAGCAAACATCTCAGGAATGAGACAATCTGACATCCCGAGCCACCTGATCGGACACGGTGAGAACACGGAGACAATTCGGTGACGTGCCTGCCAAAGACCCATAATCTGAATCTATTCAGAGGCAACATCAGACAAACCCAAACTGAGGGACACTCTACAAAACAACTGGCCCGTAATGCTCAAAAGTGTCAAAGTCAAACAAGTCGAGGAAAGAAAGACTGAAGAACAGTTCCAAGTTGAAGGAGACGAGAGCGATGTAACGTGTGCTCCTGGGCCAGCTCCTTCATTGTGAAGGAATCAACAGTAAATCTTGAGCCTGAAGACGACCCGATAGCCTGATGGCATCCAGGTTAACTTCCTGATCTTGATGGTCACGTCGTGCACACGTAGCAGAAGGTCCTTGTTTGTGGGAAATACATGCTAAGGCCCTGGAGCATAAGGTAGTGTCTCAAAAGGCTCAGGGAATAAAAAAGGGCTTTTTGCCTTACTGGCAACATTTTTCTGTAAGTTTTAAATCATTTATTTGAAAAAAAGAATTAACGTGTCCAAGGTCACCTTAACTAGTTAGCAGCAGGATTCAGACCCAGGTCCAGAAAACAAGCCCCCTACCCCAACTCTGTTCTCATTCACTCTCCTGTAAGACCACCCACACTGGCGTGGGGAGGAGGACTGGGGGTGGGAGTCCCTTTAAAGTGGAAACGTCTCAGTCAATCTTGGAGGACTTCCTTACTTATCGTAACAGAATATTCTAGGCTCCTTTTGTCCTCTCGTACCCACTATTTGTCCTCGGAGAACCACGGAGGTGGGAGAAGATGCTGGCGCATCACAAAACACTTCAAGGAGAGTAACAATGCAAGTGACCCCTGGGCATGACATGCTGCACTCCAACCCAGCAAGGCCTCAGTTTATCCGTCTCTACATCCAGCTTTCCCATTTGCCTTCAAGCGTCCTGGGCCCGACACTGGTCTAGATATTCTGATGGTGAAAGTACATAGTAGTGTCCATGGTGGCACATGTGTAGCGTGCAGCATAGGAGGCAGGTGTAGGCTGGCAATCTGTGTGTGGCATTGTATGGTGTCCCTCAGAACAAGGCAGCAGCCTCGTCCTGGCCCTGGGGGTTGTGCAAAGTGCAGGAGGATTCCCAAAGACCACGCCTCTTGGAGTCTGTTAGCCATGAACTTGAGCCCACAGTAAACAGCTGCTCTGGAGCTTCCTGGGGATGGAGGAAGATGAATGGGGGCCGGGCCCTTCCCTACCAGGGCTGGCCAACCACACAGCGGGTGGTCCATATGTGCTGCTTTGTGTTTCCACCTGGGAATCCCTAAAGTTCACATGCCACCCCAATCGCTGAAACCAAGCATCCTGCCCTTTGCTTCCCAAGCCAGGGAGAGAGAAATTCCTGGACCTGTGTGGTGTTACAGCTCCCTGGCCTCCTCCCAAGTAGACTGCAGAGGTAGCTGAGCTGTGCTGGGTGAGGTTTGCTGGGGATATTTCGCCTCTTCCCACAAGAGGGGCCAAGGACAGAGGGCCCAGGACTCAGATGGCTGCCCAGGTGAGAGGAGGGCTGACACCCTTTGGTTGCCCCTAACAGTTTAACTTCCTGATTCTGAGGTATTAGGATGAGAGATAATGTTTTCTTTTTCTTCCTGAAGTGTTTCAAGTAACCGTTTTGTGATACTGTGATTTATAATAAGAAATATAGACTTGGCCTTTGTCCTTGATCCTGGCACAGAACCCCTAGAATGCTTGGAATTTCCTGTTATTCATAACAAGCTTCTTTCCACCTAAGTGTAAATGAGGTGACTCTTGGAGGGTGGGAGCTGGTTGTCAGGGGAACCACCAAGTGATCAGGGGGTTGCCCTTTCCTGCCAACCCACCCTCACCCCCAAGCTCCAGGGAGGGGAGAAGGGCTGGAGGTTGAGTTCAATCACCAGTGGCCAATGATTTAATCAGTCGTGACTACGTTTCACCCACAAAAGGATGGGTGGGGAGAGCTTCCAGGTTGCTGAACACGCAGAGGTGGGGGGTGGGCCTGGAGAGGGCATGGGAGCTCCGCGCCCCCCACCCCACCACACCTCACCCTGTGCATCTCCCCCGTGGCTGTTCCTGACTGTATCCTTTATAATAAATGGGTAGACGTAAATAAGGTGTTTCCCTGAGTTCTGTGAGCCGTTTAGCAAATGAGAGGACCCAAGAAGGGGGTCAGAAGCACAGGTGACAACCTGGACTTGTGCTGGCATCTGAAGTGGGGCAGTCCTGGGGGACCGAGCCCTTAACTGTGGGATCTGTGCTAATGCCTGGTAGGGTCAGAATTGATCTGGATTTTAGGACGCCCAGCTGGTGTTGGAAATGGGTCAGTGCAGGAAAACGCCCACACATCTGGTGTCAGAAGTAAAGTATTGAGAGTACGAAGTAAAACACCAAGTGTGTTTTCTTTTTTTTTTTTTTTTTCTTTTTTTTTTTTTTTTTCTTTTTTTTTTTTTTTTTCTTTTTTTTTTTTTTTTTCCTTTTTGTCTTTTTTCGTGACCGGTAACGGGATCGCAACCCTCGGTGTCGTGCCCACACCACGCTCAACCAGAGAGCGGACCGGTCTCTATATGGGATCCGACCCCTCGGCGGGAGCGCTGCTGCGCTCCCAAGCACCGCACTCTACTGAGTGCGCCACCGGGCCGGCCCCCAAGTGTGTTTTCTTTTTTTTTTTTTTTTTCCTTTTTGTCTTTTTTCGTGACCGGTAACGGGATCGCAACCCTCGGTGTCGTGCCCACACCACGCTCAACCAGAGAGCGGACCGGTCTCTATATGGGATCCGACCCCTCGGCGGGAGCGCTGCTGCGCTCCCAAGCACCGCACTCTACTGAGTGCGCCACCGGGCCGGCCCCCAAGTGTGTTTTCTTTACACATTAAAATACAACTCTTCTGACATGGGGTTTTCTGTTAGGATGAAATTCTTATCTATCAAGATGCTTGTTTAACCCACAGTTCTAATGGATAGAAACTGAGAAGGTAAACTCTGTTATCAGAAATAAAAACATCCTCAAGCTGGGTGGTTAGCTCAGTTGGTTAGAGTGCGGTGTTATAACACCAAGGTCAAGGGTTCAGGTCCCCATACTGGCTGGCCTCTAAAGAAAATTAAAAAGAAAGAAAACCATCCTTGCCTGACACAGGGACCACAGGATGGTACCAAGCAGTTCTGTACTTTTCCTCTGGGGCCAGCTCAGTCCACACCGCCTGGGGAGCGTCCCAACCTCGCCCCTCTCTCCTCTCCCTCTTTCTCCGGCCTCCCTGGCACCCTTCCTCTCTCCCCAGAGTCCACCCAGAACCATGAGCCTGGCTCAGGTCGCCCCCCAGTTCCACTCAGTTTTCAGCCGGGGAGGTGGAGGAGACAGGGTCTGGCCAGCTGAGGGAGCGGGTATCATGTAAAAGAAAGAGCACCCTCCTGGGCTACTTTAGGGTGAAATCCCTCACAGACATTCACGAGGCAGTTTCACAGCCATCCCTCCCCCTGCACGCCTTGTCGTGGTATGACTTCGGCCACCCCTTTTATAAATTGATGGACTAAAACGCTCATTGAAGCTGACCCCTTTTTCCAGCTCAACGCTGCTGTGTTGTACTAACAGGCTCTCTGCCCCTTTCTCCATCTTACCAAGAACCTGTCTTCCTCACCCAGCTTGGTGTGGGCTAGGGCCCAGGAAAGGCTGGAGATAAATGTCCTGTCTCGGGAAGAAGGTGAGGGCAGAAGGAAACAAATTCAACTCACCTCGGTCACACCCACTAGTGTTGAGTGAGAAAATGAAATACACTCCACGCTGTTCTGGGTTCTGCAGGAATACAGTGATACAGCTGAGAGCACCTCCACCAGCAGGAAACTTAGGCTCCAAATGAGGAGTTAAAATTCCCAAACCAAGCAGCTGGCTGGTTAGCTCAGTTGGTTAAAGCTCGGTGTTGTAACACCAAGGTCGAGATTCAGATCCCTGTGCCAGCCACCAGAAAAAGGGAAAAAAAAGACTTATAAACCTAAAGTAATGGCAGCCAACTCAAGATCATATATGAGTGTGTGAAGCGACTCTGTATGCTCTAACGAGGATAACTTTTAAAAAAATGGAAAGACTTGTATTATCTTTTAATTCTATTTTTCCACAAACTCTTTGAAGTACCCTCATAAG